GGGGGGGGCGCTCAAGAGAGAGGTTCCTCCATTTCTAGTTTAGTCATTTGCAGCAGGAGTTAATGGGAGCAAACACCTACTAGATGTGTACTAAACATGCCAAAGAGAGAAAACAATGCTCGACCCTAGTTTAGGCAGTTGCAGCAAGAGTTCATGGAAGCATACACCTAGATTTGAGCTAAACAAGTCAAAGTATTAAAGTAAAAAGAGACTAGGAAGCACATGACGAGAAGAATGACGCTACAAACTTGACTTAAGTATAACACAAGGATGCACATGATATTTCCTGTAATGTGGCTTCAGAATGCCCAGAATTAAACAGGTGAAGCATGCGGTGAATTAATAATGGCCTACAGGTTTCAAATAGTACACGTACAAAAATCTCAGATAAGTTGGCAGATATAGTCTTCTCCAATTGGCTTGCAGCAGCAAGCATGAAAGTCTTCCTGGTCATTCCAATGTCAAAAATGGCCTGTAGCTTGAGTGATAGCGGCATATTTAAGTCACCCGAAGAAATTAGAGAAACAATCTTTTGCATGACAATACTGTTAAAGCTAGCTGCCTTTACATCCTCGTCATACTTATTGACAAACAAGCTGATTTCCACTAAAACTTTCAACGCTGCCTTCCATAGAAACGTCTTGTTGAAATCAGATTCAATGATTGACATCAAAGTCAGCAGGATTTTCTCATACATGAACTTTGACGCTGAAATAAAGCTTCCAGGAAATGTAGCCAAGATCTCCAAACCTTTAACTATAAATTGAGCATAAAAAAAAAAAGAATGTTTCAGTCAAAAGCAAGTAAATTACACTTTATAAAACAAAATGAGCACAGAAGACACTCGCATTCCCTGTGACGTTAACAGGATCCAAGTGATCCTAAGAGAAAGCGTGGCAATTTTAAACTATGAATAGCTCGTGGCCTACCATCATAAAACCTTTTTTGGGAGAATGCAGATTGGAGCTATGGGAAACTTGACAGGACAAAGACGACCATATTACCTATAGTACTAAGACTAAAGAAGACAGCTTAGTGCTAACACAAGATAACCTAACCAAAAGAGGATTTCAATTGTGCTCTAAATGTTATTTATGTGGAGAGAAGGCAGAGACAATTAGCCATCTTTTTTTGCATTGCAAATTCACTTTACAGATATGGAGAATCTTCATCAGCTTAAGGGGAATTTCATGGACAATGCCGGGAAGAATCCTTGATATTCTAGCATGCTGGAGTAAAGAGGGCTCACTTTCTAGAGATAAAAAAAGATGGAGAATTGTCCCAGCCTGCATATGGTGGACAATTTGGGAAGAAAGGAATCAAAGATGTTTTGAAGACAAGTCTAGTAACATCCAGAAGATAAAGATGAAATGCTTAGCTCTTTTTTATTTTTGGTGTAAAGGAAAGCTTTTGGAGGATCGTGAATCCATTTTAGATGTTTTAGAATCCTTGTGAGAAGACCAGGGATTAGAAGTTGTTTGTACTTTTGCTCCCTTTGTAATTATGGGTGACTTCACAATTTTAGTGGTCTTTATATTAATATACAAATATGTTACCTTCTCAAAAAAAAAGAAGACAGCTTAGTTCCAGAACAAATTCATTTGTCAAGGAGAAGCATTTACCTGCTGCATAAACATAAGCATTCCAAGTGCTTTCAGCACAACTTGCTCGAATGAGACAAAAGAAAACACTGCATAATGATATGGAGAAACTATGAAGTATCTGGCACCAAGTGTCATGCGATAGATCCGGAGCTGAAGCGACTTTATCGGAGCTGACTACCAGCTGTCTGCATGCAGCAAGGAGTTCGACACAAAGATACAAGGCTCCGAAGTTAAATTTTGCATCCAAAGCTGAATGAATAGCCTCGGGGGAATTTTCAACCGAGAGCCTTAAAGCATCCACCAACCGAGGAAAGAAACTTTCAAAAACTTTATTGCAGGAAGACCCAGAAGATTTAACACAAACAGAAAGAATACGAGCAACTGCATGTAATCTCTGCTTGTATTCAGAAGAAAGACTATTGAAATCGTCAAACTGGGAAAAGGAATTTACAAATGTGCTTATGTCCCCATCACCCAGAATCAAATTTAAGAATGACGCATTATGCTGCCGAACAAGCACCTGAAGAAGTTCAAGGGCCTGCGCCATAATTTCACTCTCATGAAAACCTATTCCATCTATTGTATTGGAATCCACTGACAAAATGGAGTGCGGGCAAGTAAATATTGCATCTTTTAATGCAGACCAAAGGGATTCAGTGTATTTTTCCATTCTATCTCCTCCATATTTCAATGTGCAGTAGCTAAGGTACTTAAAAGATTCCACCTGTAGCACAAGAATCAATGAAAATATTGCAAAATAATACATTCAATCCAAATGTTAATAAGGTAAAACTAATAGAAATAGTTGGAACTAACCTTTGCTGATGGCAGAGAAGAAGATAGTTTTTCAAGAAGTAATGGAATGGCTGAGGGTTCAAAAAGTGGCGTGGAAGCAAACGCCAGCTAGAAGACAGCAGAGTATGTTAGAATCTAAATAAAAACCAATAAGAGGAATATGGAATATACAGGAATATGAAAAACGATAAGAATGTGAAAACGAATAGCAAGATATTCTTATTGCCTCTTTGAACGAAGACACCACAGCAAACTATTGCACCCCCAATATAATTAGTTGACAAGACTTCCTTATGTATGGGAATAGGCTCTTAAGTTTAACATTTGGAAAGCATGTATCATCTGTTCAAATTCAAGAACTTCGCACCTAACATCTAAAGGTTAAAGGCTAAAAGATTCGGGTTTCAACAATCAACCCAACTAAAGGTTAAACGATCCGAGGTTTCAACAATCAACCCAACTAAAATCCTCTCAACCACTTGATAACTGGAGAGTCTAGGACTGGCATGAAATGTCTCCCCATAACAAGGAAACTGTTGATGGACCAGGTTGTCCATCCGGACAGTTAGAAGAAGATGCCAAAATTCTAAATGTTAAGACTTAGCTGATCAATTCATTAACATATTAATTTTTTAACGGAAACCATCTCAAGCTTCAAACCAGCTTCTTTCTTTTTTGGGATAAAGTAATAATTTTAGTATCAAACTTCTTACACTGAAAGTTATCATTCAGGCACTAAAGAATACACCTCCTGTGGGAGAAGTTTTATTGTGTGTCTCACACAACTTACATTAGTTGCGCGAGGTTCCTTTTTGTCTCACAAATTTGTGGACCCCAATCTTACACTTCTGGGTCCACAAAAATCTGGGTCCACAAAACTGTGAGACAAGAAAGGAGTTCACACAACTAGTGTCAGTTGTATGAGACACCAAAAAAAATTTCCCCTCCCGTGGAAGCATCCTAGGGAAGCGAGATAATACATAAGCACCTACAATCAATTCACAATGAGCATAGAGATTGAATCAGAAAGTCTTATGGCTTTCTCCTGCGCCAAGACACATTACTTTTTTAAAAAGACCCATAGAACGTAAGCTTTTTTAAGGTCTAGAAAAGTTATAAGCTTCAAACAATGCATACATTGTTCAGTTAAATTCCTCTTTTTCCGATTGGTACAACTGCTTATAAATCCGTAAGAATTTATTTTGTTTTCTGATTAGGTGGAGCAAAGCTACTCATTTGCACATGCATATTGTTATACATGCTACTTCAGCAATAAAGGCATATCAGAAAACTATACGTTACATATGTTGTGGAACAGAATGAGCCTTCCCCAGAATTAAGCTGCAAGCTCTAATGCTGCTAACCTCTTATAGAAAAGTTGGAAGAAGAGACGTCTATTCTCGACTAGAGATAAAAATACCAGCTTTTTCTAACCAAACCATAAATAAAGAATTAACATGTTAACCAAAGTGATGCAACTCAACTCAGCATATAATATCTACATTTTCTTGAAATTCACAAAATCATGAACAGTCAATCTTTTGATCTCGGAGGATCCTACGTGGCTTCTGCTCCATAAATGGATTAACTTGTTAGTTACTTTTATCATGAAGATAAAAATCATAATATTCTCCATAAAAGAAGCTTTAGAAAAGGTTATAATAAATGCATTATAAGAAATTGGCATACCATTAGGGCTCTAGAGAGTTCCTCCCTCTTTACATCAATTTCATCACCTTTAGGCTGGGTATTCCAAAGAGCAAGACAAAAATAAATTGTCAAGTAAAGAAGAGAGAACAATAATGACTTGGAATTACTTATCAAAAGAATAAAAGACTGTAGTTTATTAGAACCTGCTAAATTAGCTACCTTCTCATAAGGCTAAGGCTATTAGTCATGAAATCATTGCTTATACTTTCCCTAGAAGGGTAGAAAATTATTCTTGAATGGTATCATCAACCCCCGAAGAGAATAAATAAGGTATACAAGCAATATAGGATGTTGTGCAATTCTGAAGTTCATTATCAACCCAACCCATACTTGTCCCACAACATATATAGCAAGGTTAAAAGCTAGTCCATCACTTCTCTTTCCGTTTCTTTCATAGCAGTTCAGTTAGAGATGACATATCAAATGTTGCCTTCGGTCCTTCATGGTTGCAGATCATTTTCTCATTGATGTCGGACGAGATAGCAGTATCACATGTTTATTTAATTATCAATTCATAACAAGGATTAGAGCTTTCCAAGGGAATCTATTAAAAATATCTTCACTAGATCTTGAAGCGACCAGCATAGTCAGATACATATTTCCTAAATTCAGAAAAAAAAAAACACAAGTAAAGAGCAGGGAGACAGTATAATTCAATGATCTCACATGGGTAAAATGGATAGGAAAGTAACATCCCAAAATATCGAACAGATCCCCTGCAAAATTCGCCAATGGGCCAGAAGATTCGGGAAATAATTGTGCCAGAACTTCAACTACACGAAATACGAGCATCAAGCATTGTGGGTCCTTTTCACCATCAATAGCTTCACAGATTCCATATACAAGATCATCACCCTAGGAAGCCACAATCCAAGATTAAAAGTAAACAAGTAGAGGACTAAAAAGCAACCAAATACATAGGAAAAGGAAGTAATAGGCTTCTGAAAAAGAAACTAGATATTGTAGTCAAAATAATGACAAATGGGGTGTCGGAGACCTCTATATAAGAAGGGTATAGCATATTTTTTTTATTGGTATTTGGTAAGTGTTAAAGTGTGACACTGGTACTCCATGTGAAGGTGGTGTTTCAGTTTAACTGCGCACCGGATTTAAGAAAATAAAGAAGACTTTTCATATGTAAGCCATATATGCGAAGTACGAAAACCGTTTAGATGAGTGGTGCTAAGGGTTTCACATGTCTTTTCATTTTCTCTCCTTATAAAAGAATGAACTTTATATGAATTGGGCCCCAACAAGTCATGTCATAAGGGTAAAATGAGAATGCTAAGAGCCCGTTTGGACATATAAAATTTTTCCTTTTTTTCAAAATGTTTTTTGAAAACAATATTTGATTATCCCATTCTTACCAATTTTTCCTTTTTCACTTGAAAATGAGAATTTGCTAGTTTTTAATTTTACAAATTTACCCTATATTTTTAAAATTTATAAAATGACCCCATCAGTTTTTCATCTTTGGCAGATCCATCTTTGGCGATTGATGGTGGAACATCAGTCCTAGTTGATAATTTTACTCTGCCTACTGGAAGTTTGATTATATGGTTATGAGAAATATGTGGCTATGCCTGCTTTTGCACCTTTTCTGTGTGTTAGTATAATTAGAAAATGTGATATTGATTTTGCATCTTCTGTGTATTGCAGTAAAGCAGAATACGATAACAGTTAAACAATAGCATCTTGATTGTTTATTTCAAGTAGGATAATCAAATTGGGGTGGTTTTGATATTTTTTACAAGTTGTGGGGTATAAATCATGTTTCATGGTTTTGAAAAAAAAGACATCCAAATATGTTGCAAAAATTATAACCAAACACAACTTCATCTTCAATTCAAATTTTAGTGAAATTCCAAGTGTGAAAAAAAAAACTGGAATTCATGTCCAAACGCCTACTAAGATTAGATAGTTTCAAAAAGATAAAGATATCATTCTTTTAGGAACAAGATTAAGAGGGCAAGTGTGTCGCATAAAATGAGACAGAGGGAGTATAACATATTAGCACCACATATCTACACGACTACATCTCTCTCAAGTGAAGAAGATTTGCAATCTTTGCAAATTATAACATCATAAAGCCACTCGGCCTAATTGCAAGAATTCAAGAAACTAGCTTTATAAGGGTGACTTAAATTAAAGTAGCTAGAGCTAGAAACAAAGATGCATAAGACACTGAACGCCAAAATTTTCATTAGTTTCTTTAGTATTTTGGTGTAAAGATGAAACACCAACTTGTCTACATAGCTAGTCCAGCTCCTAGGAGGCTTATGGCCTGTTTGGCCAAGCTTCTCACCATGCCAAAAGTGTTTTTTTTTTCAAAAAATAGTGCTTTTTTCCTCAATTTGAGGTGTTTGACCAAGCTTTTTTTTTGGGAGAAAAAGTGTTTTTGGCTAGAAGCAGAAGCAGTTTTGAAGAAGCGGAAAAAAGTAGCTTCTCTCCAGAAGCAAAATCAGTTTTGACTTTTCTTCCTACCAAAAATACCCTTTGCAAAATATTATATATATCAAAATAACCTTACTTAGATTAAACTATTAAGTAATATAAAATGACTTATGGGATGAGCCTTCATATTTATTGAATGATTTTTTGATATATTTAAATTATCTTGAAAGAATAAGTACTTTTCAATTTAATTTTATATTTTACTTAAATAAAATAAAAAACTTAACTATTATCTTTAATAATAAATATTTGAAATTATTTATCTACTTATATAATATTAATTATTAAGTAAATCTCTCCATGTCCTTATTTGTAATTTGACACTTAAAGCTTGGCCGAACACAAATTATTCTTCAAAGTGTTTTTCAAATTGATTAGCCAAACACACACTGTTTTTCTCCAAAAGTACTTTTTTGAAAAGCACTTCTCAAAATAAGCTGATTTTTCCAGCTTGACCAAACATGCTATTAGTTATTGTTACAAGTAAAAATAACACCATCTTGGATTAGTTATTACTTATTAGTGAACTTCTTCGATTTATCCAAATAAAAAATAACAAGCATCCAAGGGTGTGGTCTAGTGGCTAATGAAGTGGGTTGAGAAATGAGAATCATGAGAACTAGGGTTTAATCCTAGCGGATGCAAAAATACTAGATGATTCTTCTATCCGTCCAAGCCTTGGTGGACAGAATTACCCGGTACCTGTGCACCTGTGTTGATGGGAAGTAGCAAGTACCTCGTAGAATTAGCCGAGCTGACCACAAGTTGGCCCAGACATCACGGTTTTTGAAAAAACAACAAAAAAAGAGGTACACCGAGAGCTAGTAGTTACTTATAATGTTTTGTTGCTTGCCCCAGGACAAATCAATGAAGATACTATCAAACAGTAAACCATGCTAAAATTATCACATAGATGAAACATAATTAACTGAAAAGAATTAAAAGCTATTACCAGTGACAAAAGGGCATCCGGATAACAATCCAATAGGCATTCCAATAGTTGAAGACAAAGCTGCAAGAATAAGACAGTAAATTCACCTACTAGCTGAAGATACTATCAACAGAATATCTGTGTCATTCCAATTTTATCGGATTTCTCCGCAGGGACGAAGATACTATCAACAGATGCAGAAACAACAGTTTATTTGTCCGTGTACAATCATTTTACCTTCCTGTCTTGCAGTCCCAATAACTGCACCTGCAGGTTTTGTAGATAAGACTGCGCAACGGCCTTTGCTTGACTCTTATTGATCATGCCAGCATCACTTTTCCTCCTTAGCAGAGCCAAACAACCAACAAGGGCACCATGCAACGCTTTCCAGTCTGCCTGATACAAGTACAGTATCATCTAGTCAGAGAACATTAGATGATAACCAATTAAAAGAACAGAGGTAAAGATACATGGTGCATATAGCTGTTAAATTTTTACAAAATGTTGGACTGGATTAAAACAAGTAGATATTCTGCTGGAAGTTCAAGTCGATAAGGACAAGCATCAAGAAGGATCGGAAAAAGTTCAGTAATGCATCCACTTTCAAATGGGCAAGTAGGAGTACTTTTAGTATGTGGATGCATTAAATTATGCAATTCATATGTTGCACACAGACTGATGTTCAGGAGAGTATTAACGCTTCCAGTATAAGTTAAAGAGGAATGAGAAAGTTGTATTAGCAGTATTGTTAGGAGATTGTAACATCATTGGGAAACTAAAGCAATTTCCAATCTGCAGAAGAATCTCTATGGTAGTAAAGTAGGAAGACTTAGAGCAGATAGGATTGTTACATGGGAGCAGCAAGCTGATTATCTTCTAGTAATTAGTCAAATCTACAACAGATGATTGAAAGCATGTTCCCTATGAGAGTTGTGTCCTTCAATTACAAAGCAACATATGAACTTAATACTAAAGGATAATTTGGAGAAAGATGGAGTCATAAATTTTGCATGCATTGAGAAAGACAATACACAGTGGTAAACACAACTAAGTAGGCAAACACATAAAAGATGAAAAGTAACTCAAACAAACATCGTAGAGGTGTTAAAGTATGCAGAAGAAAAACAATTTAACTGCATTGAGTTCCAAAAGGCAAAATAGCCACGTGCACAAAGCACCTTGTCTTTCTATGACAAATTCCTGATCCTAAAATGTTTGCTCACCAGCCTCTCTGTGAAGAATTCCACTAAGCTGCTTATTGCAGTATCACCCAAGGGCTTCAATATTAGTCGCATCAATAGTTCTCCAAGTAAGAGGATACCTGGAAGATAACAGGTTATCTAGCATAGAGAAAACATAGGGAGAGAAGGAGGGGTAAAATAAAATAGGGAGAAAATATTAATATTATCAAAGACAAAAAGGAGAAAAAGTGTTTAGACCTATTGGAGCTTTCAACATAGTTTTGCAAAGGAAAAAGGCCAAATTTATACCTCTACTTTAGTTAATTAGTCACGTTTATATGGTTCATCATTAGATAGATAAATCTTCAAGTTCTTTATGTTCGTGTTTGCAGATCTGAGATACTTCCAGATTAAGGTACCTTAGCTGGAGTACGTTATAGCTTTTGAGCTGGTGATTGCTAATTCGTGTTACCCGAAGAAGGCGGAGCACCTGATAACTTTTCGGAGTACGGTGGCCAAGACCCAGATTGACTATCTACTTCTCCAGAAATGTGATAGAGGTTTATGCACGGATTGCAAGGTCATCCCGAGTGAGAATCTTACGACCCAGCATATGCTTTTGATTATGGACTTAGAGATCAGGTGGACGAGGAAGAAGAGGACTATGTCTGGTATACCTAGGGTCAGGTGGGGTGCATCGAACAAGGACAAGGCCCAGGAGTTGGGGGAGAAGTTGTTGGCCATGGGGGCCTGGAGGAGTAGCGGGGATGCGAGTTGTATGTGGTCTATGACAGCAAATTGTATTAGAGAGGCGGCGAGAGAGGTGTTAGGGGTCTCAAAGGGTTTTTCTGGTGGCCATAAAGGGGACTGGGGGTGGAACGAAAAGGTTCAAGGGAAAGTGGAAGCCAAGAAAGCGGCATATTTGAAGCTAGTAGAGAGTATAGACGAGGGGCACAAGAGTGCTAACAAGGAGGGGTATAAGAAGGCTAGGAAGGAGGCGAAGTTGGTGGTTATTGCGGCTAAGACAGCGGCGTTTAGTCATTTATACGAAAAAATTGGGGATAAAGGCGGGGACAAGAAGTTGTACAGGCTGGCGAAGGTGAGGGAGCAGAAGGCCCGGGATCTGGACCAAGTGAGGTGCATAAAAGACGAGGAAGGTAGAGTTTTATTGGAGGGGGCATAGATTAGGCAGAGATGGCAATCATACTCCCATAAACTCTTGAATGAAAAGGGAGATAGGAGCATTGTGCTAGGGGAGTTGGAGTACTCGGAGCGGCAGCGAGATTTTGGGTACTGTAGACGCATACGAGTGGGGGAGGTTGTAGGTGCTATGCGCAGGATGAGTAAGGTTAGCGACTGGGCCGGACGAGATCCCGGTGGAATTCTGGAAGAGCGTGGGTAAGGAGGGCTTGGAATGACTTGCTAGGTTGTTTAACATCATATTTAGGACGAAAAAGATGCACGAAGAGTGGAGGCGGAGTACGATGATCCCGTTGTACAAGAACAAAGGGGATGTCCAAAATTGCAACAACTATAAGGGTATCAAGTTGTTAAGCCACACGATGAAAGTGTGGGAGAGGGTGATTGAAGGGAGGTTGAGGAAGAGTGTGTCCATTTTCGAGAACCAGTTCGATTTCATGCCGGGACGGTCGACTACTGAGGCCATTCACATTGTGAGGAGATTGGTGGAGCAGTATAAGGCGGTGAAGAAGGATTTGCATATGGTGTTCATTGACCTGGAGAAAGCCTAGGACAAAGTCCCGAGAGAGGTTCTATGGAGGTGTTTGGAGGCCAGAAGAGTGTCTGTAGCGTATATTAGAGTGATTCAGGACATGTATGATGGAGCTAAGACACGGGTTAGAACAGCAGGAAGAGACTCTAACTATTATCCGGTTGAGATGGGGTTGCATCAGGGATCAGCACTTAGCCCGTTTTTGTTTTCCCTGGCGATAGATTCTTTGACGCGACACATTCAAGGGGAGGTGCCTTGGTGCTTGTTATTTGCGGATGACATAGTCCTGATTGATGAGAAGCGAGGTGGTATTAACGAGAGGCTGGAAGTCTGGAGACATACTCTAGAGTCTAAGGGTTTCAAGTTGAGCAGAAGCAAGACGAAATACTTGGAGTGCAAGTTCAGCGGTAATACCCAGGAGGCGGACGGGGATGTGAGGCTCGATGCGCAAGTCATTCCCAGGAGAGAGTTTCAAGTATCTGGGGTCTATAATTCAGAAGGATGGGGAGATAGATGAGGATGTCACACGCCGTATCGGAGTAGGATGGATGAAGCGGAGGCTCGCTTCCGGTGTCTTGTGTGATAAGAATGTGCCGTTGAGACTTAAGGGTAAGTTCTACAAGGTAGTGGTTAGACCGACTATGTTATATGGGGCAGAGTGTTGGCCAGTCAAAAACTCCCATGTCCAGCAGATGAAAGTAGCGTAAATGAGGATGTTGAGATGGATATGTGGGCATACTAGTTTGGATAGAATTAGGAATGAAGTTATTCGGGACAAGGTGGGAGTGGTCCCTGTGGAGGCAAAGATGCTAAGGCGAGGTTGAGATAGTTCGGGCATGTTAAGAGGAGAAGCACAGATGCCCCAATCAGGAGATGTGAGAGGTTGGCCTTGGGAGGTGAGAGGAGGCGTAGAGATAAGCCAAAGAAGCCTTGGGGAGAGGTGATCAGGCGGGTCATGGTGCAGCTTGAGCTAACCGAGGACAATGACCCTATATAGAAGGGTGTGGAGGTTGAAGATTAGGGTAGAAGGTTAGTAGGTAGTCGTGTGTTTCCCTTTGTCTTCTCTAGTTCGATAGTATTAGTGCTAGTACGGTACCCTTTTTTCCTTACTTTGCTATATTCGCATGTCTTGTTCCGTTATTACTTGCCATCGGTAATTCCGTAGTTTGCTAGCATTACTTCATTCATATTCTCGTTTGCTGCCTTGGGTTTAGTTTTCTAAATATATTGTCTTTCTATTACTTGTTATCAGTACCTCTTTCATATTCTCTATTGCTATCTTCGATTTAGTTTTCTAATTATTTGTCGTGCTATTACTTGCTATCAGGGCTTCTTTCACCTTCTTTAGTCGAGGGTCTATCGAAAACAGTCTCTCTGCCCTTCCAGGGTAGGGGTAAGGATGCGTACATCCTACCCTCCCCAAACCCCACTTGTGAAATTATACTGGGTGGTTGTTGTTGTTGTTGTTGTTGTTGTTGTTGTTGTTATTTATTCATTTTTCTAATCTTCAGCTCTTCACAAAATTAATAATAATTACGCGGCTTAAAGGTCTGTGATTTTGAATTGATCTCGATTCATATATTAAGCAGTTGAAATTTGTAAACACCACATTGTTAATTAGCACCCTTTATCTGGTAAATTGACACTATCAATTGTAAAGGCAGTTTAATATGATTCCATAACCATTTTCATTTCATAACCACCCCCAAGTATCAGTTTTTTTTCGGATCCAATTTAAATCAGGTCATGGATAGAAGAGTCGTAGCAGATCTTTTAAAATTGGGTTCAAGATTTGCCTAGTTGTCAATTTAAGAGAAGGTCTCGGTGCCACGATGGACTACTGTTAGGGTTAGGGACAATTTTGTCTACTATCTTAACGGTGAGGACGAATTTGGACGAATAGTATAACTAGGGATAAATGTGGCTAATTAATTAAAGTATAGGGACAAATCTGACCTTTTTCCCTTTTGCAAATAAGCAATGCGCAAATGAAAAAAAAAACATATGAATTTCAAGAGTACTAACTATAACAACAACAACAACAACAAACCCAGTGCAATCCCACACGTGGGGTTTGGGGAAGGTAATGTGTACGCGGACCTTACCCCTACCTTATGAAGGAAGAGAGGTTGTTTCCTATATACCCTCGGCTCAAGAACAGTGAAAAGGACTTCAAGAGTACTAACTATAAAGACAAATAACAATCACATGGAAAAATGATTTTAAAAACTATAACATAGTGAAAAAGTTGTTGTTTGGTGGCTTGGTGCTTTAGTCATCATCCTACCAAAGTGAAAGATAAGTTCTATAGAAGAGTTATAAGACCAGCAATATTATATGGAAAAAAATGCTAAGGTCCAACACCTCCACGAGATAAGTGCCGCGGGACCAGTTCCCCCAACTCTTTTTCGTATTGACGGAGAGGTCCGCATGGTTTATGGGGTTTTGCAGGTATCTCATCTCCACTGGTCAATATATACTCTTCTGAGCAAGAGGATGGTAGATCTTCTCTCAGTTGTTCTTTCTAATAAAATTTTCTCTACATAATAAAAGCAGTATATTGTACATTCAGCACTCTTAAGAATCCCTATCCAAACACCGACATCAAAATATGCAGAATAATGTCTAAAGATTAACAACTAGTCATGCTATCAAAATGTTCAAACTCAATGCACTCTGAAATCCCCCTTCTACCTCTTTGGTGTCTCAGTGCTGCCCCACATTCAAAGAACAATGGCACAAGGCAGCAAGAACTGTAAAGCGACCAACTGGTATATCGAACTCTAAATTGATTGAAACGTTAATAAAATCATTTATCTTATCCAAAAAAATGGTTTTTATATTAAAAATACAACTATTCTTTGTCAATGAATAATTCACCCCTTCTCAAAAGAACAATTTCGATTCAAATAGCCAAATAAACCCGTCTCATACCAAAATTTGCACTTCTAAGAGCCAATTGTTCCTTTTTTCCCTTCAACAAATACTTCAATTGTAAAACTTAAGAAAACAATAACCAAAAGATGAATAATATCAAGACAAGAAGAAAAGGATACCTCTTGAACGAATGATATTATCTGTAGTGGTCAAATACATCTCCATTTCTCTAACCTATGTGTATCATACCCACCAAATTTTAGCAAGGCCAAACAATAAGTTTAACAAATTGCAGAAGAAATAAAAACCTTGAATAGTAACTCACCAAGACTTCTAAAGTTAACAAGTCATTTTTTAGAAGAAGAGCAATTGCATCAATGCTTGCCGCCTGCAAAACGCAATTAAATTATTAAGAAGACAAGAATTCAACGACTTCTTAATGTTGCGTGAATTGTAAGTTGAGAGTGAGAAAGAAAGAAAGGAGAAACGGACCTGCTGTGCAGGAGAGCTGGAAGAGCTAACGTAAGACTCAATGTGATTGACATACTCAATTGTAGGAGTCGCTGCCATAGCAAGAGAGAGGATTTTAGGACAAAGGTAATCGGAGGGTTTAAGGTCCGGCGAGGGTTTATGAAATAGTATCAAAGTAATTGAAGACAGCGTTGGAGTAAACTGTTGGGAGTAGAAAAAGCCAAGATACGCGCACTTTTATACGTATAGGATGCTGCTAAACGACCACACCCGACTGTAGCCACACTAGTGAAATTACATCAACAACCTCGTTCCTATTTGGCCCTACAATTTTCCCTCCAAAACAAAATATATTAAATAATGGAGAGCTTTTTCCTATTCCCAAACATTAAGCAACGTGAAATCATCCACATTCACATAGTGAGTAAGCTGAAAAGTGTATAGCAAATTATTGTATTTGAAAAAAAAAAGTATACGATCACATTAACGGTTAGAATCCTTCCCTTTTTTCTTCCCTAATCTGAAAATAAATTCAAACCAAGAAAAATTAGCGGTGCAAGAAAATATGAATCCAAATGAACATAACACAAATACAACAACCATGAATATGAACCAAGATAATAGGTTTGATCGAGTTAGGGACGAGTTGTACAGATCTTTAGGGATGACATCGGATGACAGTTTGTTAAATGAATACGAATAGGTCGATGTTGATTCTCACGGTAGTTTCAACAATATTGTGCACTTAGATGATGATGACAATGAACCCGATGGAGAATATTATGGAGAAGCTGATGATGATGAGGAGCAGTTTTTAGGAAATGAGTTAGAGTTATATAATGTTGATCGAGAAATGGAGAATGATTTCACTGAAGAGGATGTGGTTGTAGGTCCAATTTCCGGAATGCGATATAGAGATAAAGTTCTTTATCTGCATTCTGCAAAGAACATGCACGATTGAAATAATTCTCCGTCATCAAAAGAAATTCCAACAAGAAGGGTGATGACACTGCCAAGTACATAACTTACTGTAGTGATAGGGTTAGGATTCGCAAAACTAAGTTTACCGCCAAGAGTAACAATGGTAAAGCTAGGCTCACTGTTGTTTTGGATGATTTTGGTTGTTGGCGCGTCTCTAAAGTCATTCACGATCACAATCATGATTTGTTCCCTTCCATATCGCGCCTGGTGGCTGGACATAGGTCCGTTTGTGATTCTTTAAAGAGGAATCTTGTAGCTCATGATCGATCTGGCATTATGCCCTCCAAGAATATTAGACTTGCTGAGGTTCAACGTGGTGGACCGTAAAATTTGGGTTGCACTCCAAAAGATTGTAAAAATTTTATTTTAAAGAGTAAGAATTTTGAAATGCAAGAAAGGGACACACAGACATTGTTCAACTTTTTCGTGAAATGCAGGTAAAGGATAGGGAGTTTTTCTATTCAATAGACGTTGATAATATTGGTAGGCAGCGAAATATGGTATAAGTGCATTCACACTGTAAGGCGGCATATGAGCAATTCAATGATGTGATATGCTTTGATACGATGTACCTTGTGAATCGATATTATGTCATGTGCTACATTTGTTGGCATCAATCACCATAGACAGTCCATCTTACCGAGATGTGCTCCCACGTCTCATGAAGATATCGATAGTTACAAATTGGTTTTTAGAACTTGGCTTGAGTCCATGGGAAATGTTCATCCAGATGATATCATAACTGACCAGTGTCCGAGCATTAAGCCAGTCATTGCTAAAGTGATGCCATATACAATACATAGGTATTGTATTTGGCATATATTTTCAAAGTTGCCTCTTTACTTAAGTGGTGTTCGTCCTTCTAAAATTGCACATGGATGATCTAAATCCATGGTCTTTGATAGCATTATTGTTGAAGTTTTTGAGAGAAAATGGACAAAATATATTACCAAGTATAATTTGCATACAAGGAATTGGTTCAACGAGCTTTACTCCGAGAAGGAAAAATGGGTTCTTGTGTACCTTGACGTGTATTTTTGGGCTGGTATGCTATCTACGCAAAAAAGTGAGGGGATGCATGCATTCTTTGGATATATTACTCGTCAAAGCACTCTTAGGATGTTGTTCACCGGTATGAGTTAGCTATAAGAGTTAAGCATGAGAAAGAGTTGGAAGCAGAATACAAATCAAAGGGTTTTCAAACTGTGTGTGAGTCATTGTTCAAGTGGGAGGAGCAAGTAATTAGGTCTTATACACGTACAGTGTATGAATTTTTCAAGACACAGCTAAGGATATTGCATTATTGTGAAGTCAGCAGCCCCGACGATCATCAAGTTGTCCCTCGTATTGAGAAATTCATCGTTAGTGATTATTCAGTTGTAAAAAAAATGGTAAAAATCCAGTAGTATATATTGTTGAATATACACCTATCAGCGATTATTTTAGTTGCAGATGCAAATGGTTCGAGTCTAGAGGGATACTTTGTTGTCATATACTCAAGATTTTTATCGCACAAGAAGATTGATAAAATTGATGAAAGGTGTATACTAACAAGGTGGAGAAGCGATGTTATTCGGCAACACTTGAGTCGATTCCATCAAGTTGGTTACCCAAACATGACTCCTAAGTACAAGACATACAGGAGCATGTTGAAGCATTTTGACATGGCTTGTGATATAGCACTGGGCACCAGCGTGAAGGTTCAATACGTTAAGCATAATTTGAAGATGACGGTGCACGATCTTCAAAACTGGGACGACGAAAACGTGCCAACCCCTGACTAGGATGACTCAGATGAAACCGAAGGCATAACTCTACGAGATCCCCGGTACACTCGTTCACGTGGCAGGCCGCATTTGAATCGATATATAGGAAGAATTGAATACTACTTTACAAGTAGCTGTGTGGTGTATTTAGAGCTAGTAATGGCCGAAGAACTGGTATTAGAGGGGGTGGGAGGGGTGGTGGCAGGATTGGTGGTAGTGATAGTGGCAATCGTAGTAGTAGAGGTGGTGGATGCAAGGGTAGGGGTAATGGGCAAGGCAGAGGTACAAACATTGAGCATGATGGTTCTCTAGGTGGGAATGAGGTATAATTTTGCAACTACGTTTGATTTATTACTTAAACATATCATTTTTTCTTATAATGTTTGTTTGATTTTAATTACAGCAAAATGACACTACACAATTATAATCAAGCTTGTTTGATCTCAATGTCGAACCATACTTGGAAATATAATATTTGTGAAGAATATTGTTGAAAATTGGAGTTCTCAATGGGCCTAATTGCATTGTTGTTTTATTTGGTCCAAGAAACTTTTATTTTTAAAGAAATTTTGTTTGTTTTGAATAAACTTTGTTGTTTAATGATTTATGAAACTTATGCATTGCTTAGTTTGTTTTAACATTTCAATCAAAATGAATTCTCCAACATTTATGCCATATGGATGGCATATTAGCATTTGCATAATTGTTGATATCTATCCCCATGGCTTTGGCTTAGTTGTATTCTAACTTCAATACTTGAAATAAAATTGTTCTAACAAAGAGAGTGCATAAAGCATTTGCTCGATGCCAATTACTTTTTCGCGTTGAACTCTAATATGATGCACGGTCTTAATGTAGCGATGAAGATTAAGAAGTTATTAGCGATGAAGAAATTATCTTGAAGTTCATAATACCTAACATCTGCGATGAAGAAAGTATTTGCTAAGTATTTCCCTTAACCTTTGCTGCCTAGGTTAAAAACCAGTAACCGCATTCTTTTTTTTATCAACTCACTAAAAAAGTATTTTTAATATTGATTCCAACCAGAAATGCCGATAGACCCTTTGGTTGATTAACTCTCTAAGTTCTTTCCCTTACATATGCTGCCAAGGTTTGAAACCTAGCTGCAACATTTTGTTTGTCGAAATTGTTCTTTCCCTTATTTGTTTGTTTCATCCAAGGAGTCTAGGTGTTCGAATAGTATTTAATATTCGGTCTCCAAAACTTTGAATCACTAAATACAATTTTTTTGTTATTCGCGTTGACTTTTCCAATTCTCTATGACCAAATTAATTTCGATTTTCAAGAGTTTTTTTTAAGCTTTTCAGTCTTGTTCCGGGCTCTATTATATCCAAAAGGATACAAAATAAGGGGGGGACTTGTATAAAATAATTTTCAGTCTTCTTCCCAGTAGTTTTAGTTTAGTTGTTTTTTATACTAAATGTATAAAATCTAGTTTAAATAGTCCTTTTGTCAATCGAATAGTCTTCTTAAAATAAATAAGTATAAGAATAATCCAAGGAAGAATTACAGACAATACAACAACAACAACTCAGTAAAATCCCACAAGTGGAGTATGGGAAGGGTAGTTTGTACATAGACCTTACCCCTATCCCGAAGGCGTTGAGAGGCTGTTTCTGAAAGACCGTCGGCTCAAGAAGACGAAAAATACGAGAAGAAAAGGGAAGGGACAATATATTAGTACCATCAAACAGAAACCAAAGAAATAATATTAGCATCATAAGAACTAGAAAATAGTTGAAATGCAATAACAAAATCAGAAAATAAGCCTGATGCTATGAAAACGTAAGGATAGGGGGAACACAACATAAACCCCTAGCAGTCTAAGACCACCCCTATCGAACTAGCCTCACCTCTAGACTCGACTACGTCCTAGCTTACAACCCTAATGCTCGACCTCCACACCTTTCTATCAAGGGTCATATCCTCGGAAATCTGCAGTAACGCCATGTCCTATCTAATCACCTCTCCCCAATACTTTTTAGGCCGACCTCTACCTCTTCTCGTACGCCAGGGCCAAACTCTCGCACCTCCTCACCGGAGCATCAGGGCTCCTCCTCTGCACGTGTCCGAACCATCCGAGCCTCACTTCCCGCATCTTGTCATCCACAAGAGCCATGCCCACCTTCTCCCGAATAACTTCATTCCTAATCTTATATTATAAGAAAATCATATTAATCAAGAAACATGCTCTTACAATACTACTTTGATGCATTTGAACGAAAATGGTAGAACACAGTCACTATATGTCATTAAAAGCACATCTAAAAATCTAAGCATTAAATGTTCCTTGCACTTTAATAGCGAATATCACAGCCTTTCATGCAGCCTTTACAAGTTCAAAAAGAAGAACACTTCATTTCTTCGGATTGTTGTCGGCAACAAATTATTTTCACCCCTTAACGAGTCTTCTTCGAACACCACCTGT